TTAATGCAGCATAGTATTCCATTGTGCGAATATACCACAGCTTCTCTAGCCATTCGTTTGTTGATGGGCACTTAGGTTGTTTCCAACTCCTTGCTATTGGAAACCCTGCTTTTCTGATTCACCCCAGGACAGCTCCTACAGGCCTGAGTGACTCCCCAGCTTGGCTGTTCCAGTCCTGTTATTCCAGGAAAGCCAATAAAGGCATCCCTCTATTGCTAGCAAGAGTCTTCAGAACCCAGAGATTCCTGAAACATCTCTGGCCCCAGAGCCAGGCCAGGCTAGTGTTAAATCTCACCTTAAAGGAAGCCATCTTTTTCTTCAGGCTCACCATGCACAACTGAAAGGCATTGTTATAATTCTTGAGTCAGGGTAGGGCTGGTGCTGAGGGGAAATGCTGGAAGGAGGGGGCCCTTGAGCTTGAGCCTTTGGCTTCTCAAGAAGAGCATTGAAGATAAGCAGTTGTGAGATTCCCTTCAGCCCTCAGTTCATATGAAATGAATTGATCCATACCTGCTGTCAACATCCACTGTCTTCCTAAAACATAAAGTGAGGTACCTCTTTGATCTTTCTCACTTGCTCCAACCTCTCCCTTCATAAGCTACATGTTCACCTTCTTTTCATCACCTCATCCTGCTCACTAATGGTTCCTCTGATGAGACCCCTGGGGCCTGTGTTGTAGACAGCTGCAGGAGCTCCCCTGAGGAGTAAATATGGAAATATAAGTCCTTGTAACATGTGTCCCTCATCTTCCCCTTCAGTGAACCGGTCTCAGGACAAAGTCTTCTCACACAAGGTTATCACCACAACTCTTCTTGACTTTCCACGGAAACTAAAAAACTACATGTATGGATGTGAATGGGGCTTTGCTACATGACCTCAAATGATCACTTTTTAAAGAAAGAGATGGATGATGAGGTGACTGTGACATGCTACTTGATGATTGATGAAAGGGTCAGCATTGCTCTGGAGATTCTGGGACAGATAGTTCATGGTCCTCCTGAAAGATGGGCTTCTCCCACAGTGATCCATTCTTACCATCAAAACTCTAACAGTCCCTCTTAAAAGCTGACAGTGCTTGTTCCAGACAGCCGACATTAGGCACATGATTAGAGGGTTGCATATGTTATCTTTAAGATCCAGAGTCATCTTCAAGTATCCTGCATAAGAATCTCTGCACTATTTTTGTTTGTTTGTTTCTTTACTTGTCTGAGCTTCTGCTAAGTTTGTGGTATTTTCTAATAATATACCCTTATGATTATAGAGATAGAATTTAGAAAATTCTTAAGCTTTTCAGAGTCTATTACATCTTGGAACTTCAGTAAATCTTTTTATGATTGTATCATCTAAACATGAGCAATAAGCCTCTGGATGAGCATACGTTTGGATTATATTGGTGGGAGTCAAAGCAAAAAGACTGTCAAGAATGTTGACTACAAAGTCAGTGGAGTAACCATAGCCTGGGGAGGCAGAGAAAGCAGAGAAGCTAACTAGAAGTAGACTGTAAAGGTGTTTAGACAACATAAATTCTTTGAGATAAATTGCCTCTTGAATTTCTCTCCTGGTCAGGATTGAGCACTGAGGCTGGAGAAGGACACAAAAACACTGAAATGATTTTGACACCACTTCTCTAATACCACAAATGTTGTTGTCCACCCTTTCCTGATTAAAGCACTCAAGAAAATAAGATTAGAGGGGAATTTCTTCAACATAGTAAAAAGTATTTATGAACACCCAGGAGCCAACATTGTTCTTAA